ATAGAGTAAAAATAATGAAAGGGAGAAAGATATATCATACACCATTAATCAAAGTAAACCATGAGCAGCTCCATTAATTTAAGACAAATAAAATTTAAGGATAAAGAGACATATTGTGTAACGATAAAGTGGTCAGTTCTCCAAGAAGACGTGAGTCCTAAATCGGTATGCACGTACCATCAGAATGTCAAATACAACACCACAAAGACTGAAAGGAGAAACAGACAAAGCTACTGTTATACTAGGAGACTTCAGCACCCCTCTGTTGGTGGGTGGGTGGGTGGTGGTGGTAGTGGGAGCAGTTCATAGCTCAAGTGTCAAATCCCAGACTTGCTATTCTTACTGAGATTCAGTAGATTTTCTAGAATAAATGTTTCTTTATTTTCTCTATGCCTTTAGGACAATTTCCAGATGTTTTAGATGGATTTTTTAAAAAATAATTTTGGTTTTTATAACTTTCACTAGTTCTCTGGGGAGACAGTTCTTGAGTTCCTTACACCAACCACCATTCTGGAAGTATAGCATTGTTTTTAGGGGAGAAGATTTGCCAAGCTCTTCACTCAGCCATTCTGGAAGGCATGCCTCCTTCCATAAATACTTTTTTTTTTTTTTTTTTTTTTTTGTCAAAAAAAAAATCTTTATTTGAAGGCAACTGGAGCCAATTCAACTTTTATAAGTGTACAACTTTTTTTTTTTTTTTTTTAATACTAATTTCTTTTTGTGCAAAATGTTTTTTCCAATGTTTGAATGTTCCCTGCTTTGCAGATGCCCTAAGCACAGGCTTAACTTCTACTTGGGTATTCCAACACTGGTTTCTCTTTCTATTCCCTCTTTTCTTTCCAATGTAATGTTGGTAGGCTCCTAGTGTTATTCATGTTTCCTGGCTGCAAAATAAACAGCCAAGATCAGAATCCCAATCCCTTCTACTCCTATTTTTGTTAGGTGCTGTTGAGTCAATTTTGATTCAAAGTGACTTCATGTGACAGAATGGAACTGCCCCATAAGGTTTCCTAGGCTATAATCTTCACAGAAGGAGCTCTGGTAGCATAGTGCCTAAGGCACTTGACTGCTCACCAGAAGGCTGGAGGTTCAAACCCACCAACCACTCCTCGGAAGAAAGGTTGGGCAATCCTACTTCCGTAGTGATACTGCCTCGGAAACCCAAGGAGGGGTCGCTATGAGTCAGGGCCGACTCGACGGCAAAACAACAACAACAATCTTCACAGAAAGGAGACCCAGTGATGCATGGTAAGGGCTTGGCTGCTAACCAATCCAAACTTACCAGTTTCTCCATAGGAGAAAGATGTGGCAGGAAACCAATGGGGAAGCTCTGCTCTGTCCTATAGTGTTGCTATGAGTCAGAATTGACTCTGCAACAATGGATTTTTAATTTTTGCAGAAGCAGATTGCCACATCTTCCTCCTCATAGAGCCACTGAGAGGATTTGAACTTTCAACCTTTTGTTTAGCAGCCAAGTGCTTAACCAAGGCTCCTTCTTGTATTCCTAACCAACTTTTCTCAGAACCATGTTGACTTTCCTTATAGAACAAGGGGACATATGAAGCAAATGCACATTTCTTGTCTGTTCTTTGACCTTAGGAATTGATCTGGGCCAGCTGTGAGTTGGGGAATCTTTATGCATGCATGCACGCATGCCTTAAAACACAACTAGAGGCCTCTTGGGGGCCTAGCCCCATCACTTATTTCCTTAACCCAGTGGTTTACACACAAAGTGTCATCTGGGGACCAGCAGCATCAACATTACCTGGGAACTTGTGAGATGTGCAAATTCTTGGGCTCCACCTCAGAATGACTAATTCAGAAACTCTGGGGGTAAGAAACACCAATTTGAACTTTGACAAGCCCTCCAAGTAATTGCGATGTATGTTAAATTGAAAAACACTTGCTTTCATCTAGCTCTGATAGCACCTGGCATCGAAGTGTGGAAAATGCCCCCAAATTGGAGAACGCTGGATTCTGCTCCATGCTTGCACTACTGAGTAGTTATGATAGGTGCCGAATAATTTATTTTAGAAGGATCAGCACAAGCTGGTCCCTATGACGCGGAGGTTAAGTGTCCAACTTTTCCAAACTGCTGTACCACTCCATCACCTCTAATGTCAACTCTTCCTTCTCCTCTCAGTACTCTTCCTCCTGTCTTAGGGTTGCATATTTTGCTGTAACATCTCACAGAACTCATAGTGAAACAGCTCATATGGTGGTGGAGGCTGGGAAGCTGGCAAGTTCCAAGTCCATGGGTAGGTCTGGAGGATTCTCCTCACTCGAGCGGTTGCAGGGGCTCATGAACTCAAATCAGTGGGTCAGATGACCCACTGACATTTCAAGTCCTGGAGTGAGGTAAGAGAATAAACCAAACTCAGGATCAAGAAGGAAGATGGAGTGATCTACTTCAGTAAAGATTTACAGCCTCAGAAACTCAATGGAGGTCACTATGAGTTGGGATTGACTCGGTGACAGTGAATTAATGCCTAAGACATGATCTTTATACATTCCATGTCATTTTTGACAACTTCCAATTTTCCTACATTCATACTTTGTACTTTCCACCTTCTGATTATTAAAGAATGTTTGCAGCTGTTTCTTCCCATTTGGAGTCATGCCCTATCAGCAGATGGAGGTCCCAAAAGCTTTACTCTATCCATGTCATTAAGGTTGACTCTACTTTGAAAAGACAGCTCTTTCCCAGTTGTATTTTGAGTGCCTTCCAACCTGAGGAGTTCATCTTCCAGCACTATATCAGACAATGTCTCAGGGCTATTTATGATTTCCAGTAATATATCAGACAGTATTTCACTGCTATTCATAAGGTTTTCAGGCCAGTTCTTTGAGAAGTGGATGGTCCCTTCCTTATTCTGAGTCTGACTTAGTCTGGAAGCTCCACTGAAACCTGCCCATCATGGGTGACCCTGCTGGTATTTGAGATACCAGTGGCATAGCCTCTAGCCTCACAGCAACACACAAGCTACCAAACTATGACAAACTGACAGATGAGTGGTGGAGATAGTCAAAGACTCTTCTATTATCTAGAACAACTTTGACAAAGGTATCTGAAGACGTTTTTTGGGCTGCTATTGCCTTACCAGTAGACTTTGCAATATTTTCTAACATAATTGATAAATTTCTAATCATGTGTTCATTAGTGCTTATGCCTAGCCATGGTAGGAAGGGTCTATGGCAAGAAGCAAAACCTGTATCCTAAATACATCTTGGTCATTGACAGATTAATTTTCTGTAGTACTTTCATTTACATTTTCAAGTCATGATTATTCAAGATTATTATCACATATAGAAAGGGATCCAAGTGAGATTGTCTTTTTTTCTGAATATTTGACATAGTTGTGGAATTAAGTATGGGCTCTTTTAGTACATATTTCACTGGGGCAAATTTTGTTCCAGTAAGAATAAGGTTGTGGAATATCATGAACAGTGCCATTTATAAAAATGTCTTTTGAGGCACTCAATTGTTTTGATGCTAATTGTGCCCTTCAAACAACAGGGGCCAAAAGATTCAAGGAAGGTACAGGTAAATAAGGGCGTAAGAGTTGAACCCTCGTGACTACTGAAGTAGTTGTCCTATTGCTATCTATAGTGGCATTAGGAACTCTGGAGAAACTAGTAATGGTAAGGGCCAGTGGATGTCAGGAGTCATGAAGAGAATGGGGTTTATAGTGACAAATCCAGCAGTTGGTGAGATTTCCCCCTCTTGCAATGACCTGGAAGATACAAACAAGAGAGTTATCTTTCCATGCCAGAGCAAAGTATAAGAATGAAAGAAAAACAAGAGTATTTATAGTGAAAAATAGACAGCAGAGGAAAGCTGTATGAAAAGTAAGAGTGGGAATTAGGAAAAGAACATCCACAGATTCTTGATTTGTGATTGTGGGAAAAAGCTGTCTACCTTGTGACATCAGCCACTTCTCTTTCTGGTTAGTTTGATTTTTTATCTCTCCAGTGGACAGACAGGAGCAAGAGTTAGGTGGGACAAGTTTTAGTTGGGAAATGTGTAGCCATGGTTCAATGTCTTGTAATTTGGCTGCAGTGTTGGTGGTTAGGTCCTGGTAAGGTCCTTTCTAATGAGGTTCAAGGGCAGTTTTGTATCAATATTGTTTCCAGAATACCCAAACTTGGAGATAGTTGATGGTGAACTTGATTTTCTGAGTCAGGGGCAGAAAAATTCTCTTAGACCTATTGAGAGTAATCTTTGGCATATTTCATCAGAGCCTTACAATATTGAGTTATTTCTGTGTATGACTATGTTCAAGTGAAGGCATGAGGCTTAAATATATGGGTCTAACAGTCATAATTTCATGGGGGAGAGTTTATGTTTTCCAAAAAGAGTATTAAAAATGGCCATGGGTGCCAACAGAAGGACTTTAGGCCAGGGAAGTCCCATGATTTCAAATAATTTGTAAGTTTTAATTTTAAAATTCCATTGGTTCTTTCAACCTTGTCAGATTGTTGGGGATTGTATGGGCAATGATAATGCCAACCAGTGTGCAAATTATTGGTCAATGCCTGTATAACCTGTCTGGTAAAATTAATATCTTGGTCACTAGAAATGGTGACTGAAATTTCCCAGGGGGGAAAACATTTTCTAAGAGCATTTTTGCTACAGTCAGGGCATTGGCCCTTCATGGAAAGGCTTCAGACCATTCATAATATTTGCAAACAATACCTAAGACATAGAATATGCTTAGGGGGAGTTGGATAAAACCTAACTGCGAATGTTCAAAGGGATCAGAAGGGGAAGATGAAAACCCTTGCAACTGGAATAGATTTTCCTGGATTGTGAGCAAGACAAGTCAAATATTGATTATAAACTGCTTGGGCTGCTTTTTAGAAATCCTTCCACAAATGTCTACTCATTGTTTGAGTCATTTTATCAATGCCAAGATAAGCAAATTAATATCAAGTTCAAAATAATATGCTGGATGAAAAAGGCTACTGAGTTCCTCTCTAGCTGAAGACTTAAACAAGATTCAACCTTGTGCTACAAAAAGAATTTAAGATCAGATGTTTCAAAAAGCAGGAGAGGTGGAAGGAGTTTTCTGGAACTTTATTTATATGTGCCTCTCTATGTTCTTCTATAGGGAGCTCTGGTAGTGTAGTGCCTAAGGCACTTGGCTGCTAACCAGAAGTCTGGCGGTTCAAACCCACCAGCCACTCCTTGGAAGGAAGATGGGGCAATCTACTTCCGTAGTGATACTGCCTTGGAAATCCAAGGAGGGGTCGCTATGAGTCGGGTCCGACTCAACGGCACATAACAACAACAACATTTTCTTCTATATATGATAGTGTTGGGTCAAGGATTACTAAAATAAAAATCCTTATCTCAATCATAATAGACAATGCCAAACATGACCTTCATTTTTTGCATGGAATAATAAATACATAAATGTTCACTTGAGACTAAAACTTAGCCCATATATTTTAATAAATCAAAGGAAGATAGGCGAAGATGAGAAGCCCCATAGAAAGAACGCCTGTATCTCCCATGCATTTCTTTCTAAACATCACTCATTGTAAGGCAGCTGTCAACTGGCTCTCGTCTTGATATTAGCAATTAGGGTTACCTCTGAGATCTTCCAGCCCTTGAGGAAATTCTTCTAATGAAATTGCACCCGTGGAATTAATTTCCTGGATATTACTCCCACTGGTATCCTAGCATTCCAACCCCAAGAGGAAACATTACATAATTAACCAGTATTGACAGTGGTATAAGACTGTTTTGTGACTCAGGAAGAAATTTGCTTGGTTGTTTTAGCCCGAGATGTGGGAGAAAAATGAAAAGTAATAAAGTCATCTGCGGTGAGAGGAGGATAAGTTTCCATCGTAGTTGTTATTCCTTCTATGTTTATCCCACGTTGTGGTGGCTTTGGAGTGAACACATATGCTGCCTTGGGAATGCAGCATGTTTGCTTGTTGTTACAAAGAAGTTTGTATCTTTCATCTCGGAAACATCGTTTTCTGCAGTGTCCTATATCATCCTTCCAGCATCTTTGGATTTCCCAGCCAGCTGTAGGAAATAAACAAGCAGACCAATAATATAGCAGACATTTTCTTCATTCAAAAACTGGGCAACCACTACCATCTAGTCTAAGGTAATAACAAATAATACTATAAGTCATTAAGAGAGACAACCCACAAAGAAGAAAAGCAAAACTGCATATTAAAAATGGTTACAAGTGCCATCAAGGAAATGTAGGAGAGAGCAGGCCAGAGGAAGAGGTGAGAGAGACAGAGAGAGAGAGAGAGAGAGAGAGGAAAAAAAAGGAGAGCGAGAGAAACAAGGCAGACAAACTTAGAGCTGATACTTAAGCCAAGGCAAGAAGAATGAAAAGGAGACAGCAAGTTACACAGGAGGTGAAGATAGTTTCAGGAAGGCAGTAGAAAATGCTCAGTCCCAGGGTTGAGGAACTGCTGGTGTGTTGAAGGTTGATGAGCCTGGAATGTCATGTGCGAGAGGAAAGGAGGATGACGTGATGAGCATGAAGTAGCAGAACCAGGTCTTCCAGTCCTTTTAGGCCAACTACTTTTTTCTTCTTCAAAACACAGTATGAGCTATATGGTCTTAACCTGTGCTTTAGAAGGGGAATCAGAATTCTACATGGAAATTAGATTAGGGACAGGAAAGAGTGAAGTCAGGGCGATATGTTAGAGGCTTTTGCCAGATAAGACATGATGGTGGCTGGAACTAGAGCTGTGACAGTTACTGTGGGAAGAAAAGGGTAGATTTGGGAGAAGCCATCAATTGTTTGGCTAGAAGGTCAGAGGAAGATGGAGAAATCAAAGTAGACTACAAGGCCTCTGAATTCAGGCAGGAGTAGTCAGGCAGGTCCCTGAGTAGCACACACAGTTTGCACTTGACTACTAACCTAAAACTTGGCAGTTTGAACCCACCCAGTAGTGCCATGGAAGAAAGGCTTGGTGATCTCCTTCTGTAAAGATTACAGCCCAGAAAAACTCATGGAGATAGAACTACTCAGTCACACATGGTGTCACCATGAATCGGAACCAATCAACAGCAACATGTTTTTTTTTTTTTTTTCTTCCTTTTCTTTTTAGTTAGTGATACTTCCCTTTGCAGAGAGTAGTGAAAACTGAAGAAAGAGTAAAATTTGGGGAAAAAGAAAAAGGTTGGTTCAAATATTTGCTTTGTGACTGTCTTAGTTACCAGAGGGCTGGTGGTTCAAACCCACCAGCCACTCCTCGGAAGGAAGGTTGGACAATCTACTTCCACAGTGATACCGCCTCAGAAAGCCAAGGAGGGGTCGCTATGAGTAGGGTCTGACTCGACGGCATATAACAACAACAACTAGTTACCTAGTGCTGTTATAACAGAAATACAAGTGGATGGCTCTAACAAAATGTATTTATTTTCTGTGAGAAATTTGTTTTCTCACAGATTAGGAGGCTAGAATCCTAATTCAGGGGGCTGGCTCTAGGGGCAGCCTTCCTGTTTCTGTTGACTCTGGAGCAATGTCCTGGTTTCTTTTGAGCTTTTGCTCCTGAGCAATCTTCATGTGGCTTGGCATCTCTCTTCCCCCATCTCTGCTATTTTCTCTTGTTTGTTTAATCTCTCTTATGTCTCAAAAGAGATTGATCTAAGACACACCCTACACTAATCCTGTCTCATCAACATAAAAACCCATTCCCGAATGGGATTATAATCATGGGCATAGAGGTTAGGATTTATAATACTTATATTTTAGGAGGACACAACTCTACCCACAACAATGGCATATAAAGTATAATATGCTAGAGCTCTGGTAGCTTAGTGCCCAATGCATTTGACTGCTAATCAGAAGGCTGGTGGTTCAAACCCACCAGCCACTCCTCAGAAGGAAGGTTGGGCAATCTACTTCCGTAGTGATACCACCTCGGAAACCCAAGGAGGTGTCGCTATGAGTCGGGTCTGAGACAGCACATAACAACAACAATAACATGCTTACCAAACAGCTGTCTGGGGATGTCAAGATGGCTGTTGAATATACCCGTGGGACTTTGGATACAAGTTTTAGAATCATTGCTTATGGACAGTATTTAAAGCCACAGGAATGGCTAAGGCATAGTGAGAATAAAATGAGAAAAAAAAAAAGAGTCAAAATTAAATTCAGGTGAGTGTCAACATTTAGAGTTCAGACAGAAAAAAAAAAAAAGACTAAAAAGGAATAACCAAGTAAGTAGGAGCGAACAAGAGAGTGAGACATTACACACTAGAATTTTTTGTGTGGGTTTTCCCCAAAGCAGACCTTGAGCAAGAATTTGAGTGTAATAGTTTCATTGAGAGACAATCCCGCAAAAACACCAATGGGAAAGTGAGACAGGGAAGCAAGGAAACATCCAGGATAGTGCCAGTTGCAGATCAGTCTAGTGTGCATGGGAAAGGAAGTGCTGAAAAGATAAAAGGTATGTCGTCTCAGATACAACTAGATTAACAGAGAGGAGAATGTTTCTTGAAGGAAAGAGTAGTCATTTGAAGTCAGATACTGCCAAGAGGTTGAGAAAGATAAGGGCAGAAAAGTGTTCAATGTATTTAGCAGTGGGAATGTTACTAGCAACCGTGAGAAGAGCCGTTTCAGAGTGATAGAAGAGAAGGAACTAAATTGAAGTTGGTTGAAATGAGACTGACAAAACTGGAAGTAGCGCCTATAGACCAAAATCAGGAGTGTTAGCTGTGAAGAAGAGCACAGAAATCAAGAAGTTGTGGGAGGACAATGTGATGTCACGGAGGGTTTCCAAGTTGCTTCACAAGCCTATCAGATGCCATATCACTTTAAAACACACAAAAATAAACTACAGATAAATAATTAAAGACTGGTTGTCCAGCATCAGTGGAGCAATTAATTAAAGTAAGGTAGACTCACTCCCTGTGTATCAATTTTAAAAAAATGAAGCAGATTTAAATATCGTTATGTCTCTAGGATTCACCCTGGGAGAGGGGACAAACAGTTTATGTGCTCAGCTGCTAACTGAAAGGTTGGATTTTCAAGTTCACCCAAGGTGCCTCAGAAAAAAGACCTGTGATCTACTTTTGGAAAAACAGCCATTGAAAGTCCTGTAAATCCTAACCTCTAGATAAATTGATTGATCTTGTATATCCTAGCAGAAACACACACACACGTTTTTGTTGGGATAGATAAGAAATTGGTAACAGTGATTGATTTTGAAGGGGAAGACTGAGGAACTGGTATATTTGGGTAGGAGAGTGTTTTATTTTCCCTTAAACCTTTATAAACGTAACAATTATTTCACTTTTTAAAAATAAATTGTAAGTATTATTTTTCATTAAAAAGTGGTAAAATTTTAGAAGTAGCATTATGTAAAAGGGGGAGCAATCTTATTCAGGTTGCTCTGAAATTAGAAACTTCCCAGCGGTCACTAGTCTTTCCACCCTGCCTTCGTTTCACTTACCCTCATCTCTGTGCCAAACTTATATGTTCTTTCTTGCCCATGAGAACTTTGCAGAATCTACAAAGTGTCTATGGACTGGTTCACTATACCCAGAACATAAGAAGATGACCTCCCCATTGCAGTGACTTTTGGGACAAAAAAAAAAAAAAAAAATTCCATGTAATAGCAAGAGTTGAACTAATAAGATACAACAATGACATAATTGGTACTAGTTATGGTAGAAATGAAATGAGAAATTGCTGAGTGACAAATGGATTAGCACTCTCTCTATATATATATGGGAGCTCTGGTAGCATAGTGGCTAAGGCAGTTGACTGCTAACCAGAAGGCTGGTGGTTCAAACCCACCAGCCACTCCTCGGAAGGAAGATGGGCAATCTACTTCCGTAGTGATACTGCCTCAGAAACCCAAGGAGGGGTCGTTATGAGTCGGGTCCGACTCAATGGCACACAACAACAACAACAAATATATATATATATATATATACACATATATATGTAAAAAGAAAGGACTACTCAAGATACTGAGAAAATTTTTGCTTCTGGAGAAATGTCTCAGAGGATATTCCAGCTTGCTAGGTGTCCCTAACAGATTCTCAGAAAACTGGGCTATGAAACTGTCCAAATAAGAATATTTTTGCTTCTATTTATTGGTTCAGGGAGTCTCTGAGTGGTCCAAAGAATTAATATTCTTGGCTACTGACCAAAGTTTGAAGGTCTGAGTCCACCCACAGGTCCTTGGAAGAAAGGCCTGGTAATGGGCTTCTGAAAAAAACAGCCGTTGAAACCCTTTGCAACACTCTTCTACTCTGGCACACCAAGGATCTCCAGGAGTCGAAGTCTGCTGGACAGCAACTGGTTACTTGTTTAGGTTGTGGGTTCAAAGCTATTCCTGTGGGTCCTCTTTTCCCCTCCAGATACCTGGGTAGCCCAAGGGAAACCATTCATCCTAATTCCATCATACCTAATTTCTAGGAGCTCTGGTAGCATAGTGCCTAAGGCACTTGACTGCTAACCAGAAGGCTGGCGGTTCAAACCCACCAGCCACTCCTCGGAAGGAAGTTTGGGCAATCTACTTCCATAGTGATACTGCCTCAGAAACCCAAGAAGGGGTCGCTCTGAGTCGGGTCTGACTCAACGGCACATAACAACAACAAGAACTAATTTGTAGGGTTCCATTACCTTTGATTACCGGAGTTAGAGACCCACAGACAGTGAAGGCCAGCATGAGGAAATTCATGGCTTCTGAGAGGGAGGAGGCTCCGTGTCTTGAGGAGTGCAGAACACTGAGCATAGCTAGGACTCCAGGTGGTCACTTTTATTGGCCTGTCACGGGTGATGAACCAGAGATAGAGAGAATGCCATGCCACTCAGAACACGAGACCATTAATTTGTAGCTTTGAGTGTACATAATGCAATAATGCCCTGACGTAGAAACTACTAGAAGAAACTGGGGCTTTATAAGATGAATTATAACACTGTAGAAGTGGAAATGGATTGACGGAAAGAAACAACCCTTAAAAAGAAGTCTTCCTTAACCCTAGATGGATCAGTTACTTCTCTGTGCTTGCGCAGACCTCGCACATACTCAGTGATAGCAGAATGGGATTGTAAAGACCCCACTTGTGGCTGCCCAATAGCTTGTGACATCCAGTGAAGTATTTTTTCCTTCTGAGTGAACACCTTAATACTATCTCTATGAAACAAAGAAGCCACTTTAGCCAAGCTCATAAGTACTCCATTGACTATGAGACAGAAGAGATTTGGAATGGGGAGTAAAAAAAATAAGATTATTTTTTAATAAATGGTCTTATTGATGCTCTATATTACCCCATTCCACTTTCCCATCCACTCTCCCCAACCCTACCAAGAAACAAAACAGGAAGAGAAAACATTTCAAAAGAGACAGAGAGAATGGAGTACAGTGTAAAATTGTGAGCCCTCCCCCCATACCACCCCTGCCCAAACAAAGGAATACAGGAAAGATGTGGGAATCGCCAGCAGGAGTGCTCAGCACTTCACCCTCTGCCAACATCTACTCAATGGTATTCCTCAGAAGCGTGTAACGCCACTGGACTGAGGGAAGCAAGGAAAAACGACAAAATGGCAGAATGGTGTATCTTAACAGGAGAGAGTAGAGACATCCCTCTCATACATGTCTAGCGTTGCTGAGGTTTCTTTGAGGTTCAAGGAATCTCTAAGTCTCACATTTATGTGAGTAGAAGAAGTAGAAGGCAGATAAGGAAAAACAAAACAAAACAGGAACTTCATTAAGAAGTTTCCATGAAGATGAGAAAACGGAGTCTGTTGTTGAGAGATGCAAGGTGAACTGCCAAAGCCAGAGATCATAAAGAGGGTGTCAGTTACAGTCGAATCAAAGTGTCAGGAAAACGTATGGCAGTTTGTGGGTGTCTGGGACCAACAAGCATTACTACTTGAGACAGCATTGTTGTTGTTGTTGTTATTTGCCATCGAGTCGGCTCCGACTCATAGCGACCCCTCCTTGGGTTTCCGAGGCAGTATCACTACAGAAGTAGGAATGCCCAACCTTCCTTCCGAGGAGTGGCTGGTGGGTTTGAACTGCCAGCCTTCTGGTTAGCAGTCAAGTGCCTTAGGCACTATGCATTAGATACCTACTATCCAGTTTCATGAGAGGAGTTATCCAGAACAATGGCCACAGTGCCTTCCATGGACTAGCTCAGATAAGACAGAGATGGATACCCTCCCTTCTGTGCATCTGGTTTTCTTATACACATATTTTCCATCCTGTCATTGGTGACTTTGTGGGACTGGGAGTGGTTGGGATGGAATAGGGAAATAAGGGCAAGGTGAGAGAGAGAGAGAGAGGAGGTCGATGTGATATTTGTTGAATTGTTTGTCACTGAGAAAAATTTCTTAATGTACATTCTTACCACAAAAATCAATGGAATTGATTGATTATACTTGAAAATTTCAATGTAAATAGAGGCTCAGTGCCAAGAAAAATAGATTCAATTGTAAAATAGATTTCAGAGGTGTACAGGTTAGAGCTGTTTTACTATCACTGCACTTCCCTCTATGAGAAATTTTTGTATTTTGTACTCTAAATCATAATCTTATCACTCATCCTTACTAAAAACAAAACAGAACAAAACAAACAAACAAACAAAAAAACCCACTGCCATCTAGTCAATTATGACTCCTATAGTGACCTTATAGGACAAAGCAGAACTGGCCCATAGGGTTTCCAAGGCTGTAAATCTTTATAGCAGACTGTCTCATCATTTTCCTGTGGAGTGGCTGGCGGGTTCAAATTGCTGACCTTTTGCATAGAAGCCAAATGCTTTAACCACCATGCCACCAGAGCTCCTACCTCACCACTAGCCTATGTTATCTATATTTCTCACTCAGTGCCCTCCAATCAGATCACAAGCACATATTAAATAATTAATAAAAGCATTTTAATCATATGTATATGGTAAAATAATATATGTATGTTTTGTAAAAGACCTTCTAGATAATCTTAGAAAACTTACAGATGTCCACTATACAGCATACAAGATGCTTCTGTCCATTTCTGCTCAAGGCAGGCATTTCTATTTAATGACATAACTCTTTCTTATTGAACCTGAGCTTAATTTCAGAGTCCTTCCCAGGAGAATTGGCTTCTTTACCATCCATGACTCCAGCCCCCAACGTCCATTTTAATCAACCAACAGCCAATCAGTTGCCATTGAGTAGATCCTGACTCATGGTGACCCCGTGTGTGTCAGACTAGAAGTGTGCTCCCTAGGGTATCCAATGGCTGATTTTTCACAAGTAGACTGCACCTCTTCTGAGGAGCCTCTGAGCAGACTCAAACCTCCAACCTTTTCGTCAAAAGTTGAGCTCCTTAACCATTTGCACCACCCAAGGGCTCCAACCTCCTCCTTAGATAGGGAAACTGAGGCCCAAGTAAAGGCAGAGAGACGACTAATGTGTTCCAGGTCAGATGCCTGAGTCAGTGAGACAACCTACTATCAACTCCGCATTTCACAAATGAGTACATTAAGTTCTTGAGATGGAAAATAGTTTACTCAAAAGTAAAGTAACAGCATGAAGGAAAATGGCTCCATTCCAATGGAGAAAAATGATCTGTGCAGATAAGGGTGAAAAACTGAAAGAAGAAGCAAAGATAATAGCAGGAGCTGTACAGAAGTTACCACAGGGTTTTGAGAAAGGGATACACTACTGAATTTTGTTCATATGTCCTGAGGATAGCATTAATACCATAGTCCTATTCTGACCTTCTCTACACAGGCACCTGCCCTCCAGGAAGATCAGTAAGCAATTGAGACTACCCAGTGTTTGAGGATAAGCCATTTGGAATGAGGCTGGGGAGGTCTTGAGTGGAGAAAGTGTAAGATAGGAATCTCATTCTTCCTTTTTCTCCAGGTGAAGCATACTTTCCGCTCCTTAACACCTTCATGTTCACTTTTTTTTTTTTTTTAAAGGAACTATGGAGACACTTAGCATTATCATTTTTTCAAGGTTGCATTAGGGTGTCTCTGTATTTAGGAAATGAAGAGGCAAGCATATATTTCTTACTTTCCCCTTCTGTGTTGGAATCCCTACAGTCTAGTTTTATGTAAGCCAACATCAAAAGTTCCAGAAACATAAACACAAAAGGAACTTTACATTTCCTTGTTAATAATGACTCAGATGAAAATACCTATACATTACCTATAATGGCTATTTAAAAAATTTATACTTACAGGTAACAATTTTGAACATTTATCATTTGCTAAGTATGTGGATCAATGCCCATGGAAGCAACTGACAAGAAAGTAAACAATGTATTGCATTAGGTAAATCTGCTGCAAGAGATGTCTTTAAAGTGTTAAAAAGAAAACATGTCACTTTGAGGACTACGGTGCACCTAACTCAAGCCATGGTATTTTCATCGCCTCACATGCATGCAAAAGCTGGAGAATAAATAAGGAAGACTAAAGAAGAATTGTTGCCTTGGAAATACGGTCTTGGTGAAGAATATTAGATATAACATGGACTGCCAGAAGAATGAACAAATCTGTCTTGCAAGAAGTACAACCAGAGTCCCTAGAAGCATGAATGGTGAGACTTTGTTTCATGTACTTTGGTTACGTTATCAGGTGACCAGTCCTTGGAAAAGGACATCAAACTTGGTGAAGGAGACAGTGAGCAAAAAGAGGAAGACCTTCAATGAGATGAACTGACAAAGTGGCTGCAACAATGAGCTCAAACGTAGCAATGCTTACAGGATGGTGCAGAACTGGACAGGGTTTCGTTCCATTGTACATGGGGTTCCTTGGAGTTGGAACCATCTCAAGAACACCTAACAAATACAAACTAAGTCGTCCACATTCTTCATCTCATTTAATCCTTTACAATAAACCCATATATGGATACCAGAAGAACAAACAAATCTGTCCTGGGAAAAGTGCAGCCAGAATGCTTCTTGGGAGTGAGAATGGCCAGACTTTGTCTCACCTACTTTGGTAATGTTGTCAGAAGGGACAATTCCCCAGAGAAAAATATCATGCTTGGTAAAGTAGAGGGTTAGCAAAAAAGGAGAAGGCCCTCAATGAAATGGATTGACACAGTGGCTGCCACTATGGGCTCAAGTATAGCAAGGATTGTGAGGATGGTTTAAGACTGGGCGGTGTTTCTTTCTGTTGTACATGGGGTCTCTGTGAGTCAGAGCTAACTCAATGGCATCTAACAACACTAACAACAACATTCTGGTGTGTTTTGTTGTTAGGTGCCATCTAGTCGGCTCTGACTCATAGCAACCTTATGCGCAACAGAATGAATACTGCCTGGTCCTGTGCCAACCCCACTACCCTTGCCCATAGTTGCAGCCACTGTGTCAATCCATGTCATTGAGAGCCTTCCCCTTTTTTGTTGACCTTCCACTTTACCAAGCATGATATCCTTCTCCAGGAATGGTCCCTTCTGACAACATGACCAAAGTAGGTGAGGAAAAAGTCTAGCCATTCTTGCTTCCAAACAACATTCTTATGCCAGCTAAAAGATAAGAATGTTGAAGCAAAGAGAAATCAAGTGATTCACATACTTGCATAACTGATAAATAGTAAGGCATGGATTTTTATCAATGCAGAGTACGTGTGCTACAGCATCACATCATGCTACCATCAAGGTCATGCCTATCACTGTTCATTCATTATGGGGAGTGGAGTGTTACATTAATGGCTCCATTTATATGGTGTTCCAAAACAGGTG